ATATGCTTCTTAATAGCATTTGTTCCTTTAATGACTTGTCCGGTAAAACCGTGACAGCTCCCAATGTCTGCCAATCTCTAGTGGAGAGTAATACTTGATCTCTAACTTTGAAAGGTGCGGGTCGTACAGATTGATCGTAGTACCACTTCATGCGCTCAGCTGCCAATAGAATGGCTGCTTTTGCTTGCTCTTGCACTTCTACTCGTGCCTGCATTATGGAATCTAACGTATTATGCTTTATAGGGTCCATTATTGTTGGTTCTGCACGTGGATGTCTACCGTATTCGATAAAGAATGGTGAATTCTTAGTGGCTTCAGAAGCCTGATTGTTATAGGCGAATTTGGCAGTTGGAAGTAAAGTACTCCAGTCTTCCATGCGTTTATCTGTATAAATACGAAGATATTGCTCTAGCGACTGATTTGTTCTTTCAGTTTGACCATCGGTCTCTGGATGATATGCAAACGACATTGTTGATTGTATCCCAAGGAGCTTGCATACTTTTTGGAATAATGCACTTTCAAACTGAGTACCTCGATCTGAGATAATCTGTCTTGGAAGACCATGCTGCATCCATACCCTCTCATAAAAAGTACGAGCAAGGTCTGATGCTGAGAACTCATTGGTGATTGCAAAGAAATGCGCTCTTTTGGTCAAACGATCAACAACTACCATAATTGCGTTGAATCCATGGGATTCTGGTAATTGAGTAATTAAGTCGACAGAGACAATTTCTCAAGGTTCTGTTGGAACCTCATTTGGCTGTAATTCTCCGTATTTTGGCTGATTGATGTTCTTGTTGCATTGACAGATGTCGCAAGAACCAACATACTTTTTGACGTAAGTGGACATTCCTGGCCACCAGTAATTACAAGATAACATCTCATATGTCTTCCATCTTCCAGGATGACCTGCACTGGCAGCTTCATGATGACGCTGGATGATTTCTCGTCTAAGTGATTCCTTATTATCTGCTTTCGGCACATAGACTTTGCCTCAGTATAGTAATATCCCGCTTTCGAAGTTCCAGTCTTCGAGTCCTTTTGAGAACTCTCATTGTCCTTTCTTGAGTAGGTCTTGGTATGAGTTGTTCACATTGTCATCTTGTAGTGCCTTCTTGATCTTGTCCACCAAATCATGATCTGTGACGACTGCAAGATGGGTATGTTGAATAGCTTTAATCGTGAAATATTCCGGTTTGAGCAGAGTCTTGTCGGAATTATCGAGATTTACCCCCTCTTCATGATCTGGCCTCCTGGACAGAGGATCCGTGCGATGCATTGATTTCCCTGGTTTGTGATGTAGTTGGATGTTGAACCGTGTAAGATATAGCGACCATCGAGCTTGCCGCCTCGTCAGCTTTTGTGCTGATTTGAAATAGGTTAAGTTCTGGTGATCGGACCATATTTCGACTGGGAGCAGATGACCTTCGAGATGTTGTCTGTATTCTTCCAACGCTCAAATAATTGCGAGCATCTCTTTGTCATAGATTTCATAGTTCCGCTCAGCCTCTTTGAGGCTTTTTGAATAGAATGCGATTGGATGCCACAATCCATCGTCTTTGAGTTGTTCCAGGCATGCGCCAGTGGCAAAATCGCTGGAATCCGTTTCTAACCGAAATGGATGCGTATCATCCGGTAATGCCAGAATTGGAGCTGTTGTAAAAGCTTTTTTGAGAGCATCGAATGATTGTTGTTGCTCTTCACTCCACACCCATTTCTGATCCTTTCGTGTAAGGATATTGAGTGGTCGAGACTTTTTGGCAAATCCTTCAATGAATCGATGATAGAAATTTGCGAACCCAAGAAAAGCTTGTACTTGCTTAACCTTTTTAGGTTCATGTCACAGATTTTCGCCACAAAGTCCGCACGTGACTTTTCTCACACCACAGATCACGTGCTTCACCAATATCTCATGCCACTCAGCCACAGACGTGACACGTAGAGATCAGGTGATAGTCCACATCACATGTTATGGTCCAGACCCGTGGATGATA